CGCCTCACCTCTGGCTCCGCCCCTTGCGGCGAAGCGGCTTTAGTCGGCGGAGCTCCGCCCCCTCTCGGGAGACCACGCCCCTTCCCTGGGCACCGCCCTCGTACTCCGGGAAGCCCCACCTACCACTCTGTTTTAGGGACTCCCTCGCCCCTCCTTGCTGGCTCAGGGACTCCCCCGTCGTCTACGCGACCCTCCTCCAGTTCAGGCTCCCCAGACTCCGCTCCCATATCGCGGAACCCCAGGGTTCTCCCAGAGACTCGAGAGCCCCTCTCCACCGTAGGGCAAGGCCCTCGCACTGCACTGGAGAGCCCTTTCCCCCAGTCTCAGGCCCGGGGACTCTCCACCCCCAGTCCCTAGACCCCGCCTCCTATATGGGGAAGCCATGCAATTAGAGGAGAGAAGCAGGGAAGGGAGGAGGAGAGAGAGAAGGTAGATACTAGAGGAGGCGGGGCGGGGGGGGGGCGTCAGCGGGGGAGGGACGCAGCTACAGTTACCCAGAGTCGCAGACCTGTCTTTCAGTCCTGCTTGACCACTTTCTCACTGGGTGATCTCCTGCCGGCTCTGGGCCCCTGGTGTCCAGAGACACCCATCGTTCCCTCCCCCCTCCCACCCCCACGCACACGCCACCCAAGATGCTACCAAGGGGAAGGAGACCGTTGGGGGAGCGCAGCCCCTTTGGGGCCTGGGACTTGAAAGAAATTTCTTTCTTCTATCAGTCTACACCAGCGTCTGTGCGTTGTGCTTCCAGCAAATTTTAATCCCTAGGAAGCAGGCACGATAATCTCCCATTTGACAGATGAGGAAACAGATTTACAAAAGTGACTTGCTCATTGTAGTTGGCTAGAAACGGGCCAAGAGGGTATCTCAGCTGTGTGAGTGACTCCTACATTTCAGCGCCTAACTTCCATCGTTGTCATTAGGACTAGGGGCAGGATGGGGCTTCAGAGGGGCAGAATAGGAGAAATTTTATCTGCATCAGATAAGGTCCCTCCTGCTCGGTGTCTCTTGGTCTGGAACTATAAGGACTGGGTGGAGCAGTTTTATGAGAAAATCAAGGAAGGCTCCACAGAGGAGGTGGCCTTTGACTTCCATCATGAAGGATGTATGGGAGTTTGACCCCGCATTCCTGAGAGGGAGACTCTGTCACGCCCCCCAACTTGTTGCATGGCTCCCAATCTACCACACTCCCCTGGGTTGGGACCCACCACATTCATCCCACTAACTCCCCCACCTAAAAATAGTCAAAGACACCAGCTGTTTTGCCAGCTGTTTCTGGAGCCCCAGTGACTAGATGAAACAAGAAAGCAGCCGGCAACACATCCTTTAGGAGAAAAAGTACTTAAAGAGAAACTCCCTGAGAGGCAACCACCTCACAGGCCAGACATGGCAGCAGGTCATACAAATCCCGTGCCCTCTGCAGGATAGCTTCATGCTGAATGACCCCAGTATGTCCACCTCTGTGCTGGGTATGCACAGCCACCATCGAATTTGGGGATGCTGGGACAGTCTTACTCCCTTTTGTGCCCCAAGTTTTGCCCTCTGGTTAGCTGTGAGACCCCATAGGAGCCTCCAGCCTCTCTCAGTTTTGCAACTTTGGCACACGACATTTCAAGACTTTCCTGTGCCATTCATGTATCTAAGATTCCACGGACTAGCCCTCATGAACACAGCACAAACTTCACAGCACAAACCCTGCATATTGTTGTCATTCTGCTCCTTGGACTTCCCTCCAGCACTATAGTCTGAGAAGTAAGACCAAGGTCTCCTCTGCTGTGGCTCCCCCAACTTATCTAAGGGGTCCATCTTTTCCCAACTCTGCCCTTGCACTCCAGCAAGGTATCAAGGACAGAAGCCAGCATCTTAAATTTCCCATCTCCCCTCCAAATCTCCTAGCCTAGAAAGCGCTTGCTGCTGTTGCTTTTTGTCTGTTTTGTTTTTTGAACATCCTTTCTCAACTAGATAACACAACGATTCTTCTGAACTGTTTATGCCAGCCACTTGCCCTCAGGTATTTGAACCCAAGAATTAAAGAAATACATTTGAGCCTGGGAGTGGTGGCTCACACCTGTAATCCCAGCCCTTTGGGAGGCTGAGGCAGGATGGTTGCTTGAGGTCAGGATTTCGAGGTCAACCTGGGAAACATAGTGAGACCCTGTCTCTACAGAAATTTTTTTTTTTTGGAATTGGCGTCTCACTCTGTCACCCAGACTGGAGTGCAGTGGCACACTCATGGCCACCACAGCCTCAACCTGCTTGGCTCAGGTGATCCTTCTGCTTCAGCCTTCCAAGTAGCTGGAACTACAGGCGAGTGCCACCACATCCGGCTACTTTTATGATTTATTGTAGAAATGAGGTCTCGCCAAGTTGCCCAGGCAGGTCTTGAACTCCTGGGCTCAGGCAATCCTCTCACCTCCCTTACATGTCCAATAAACTATAGTGGGATAGAGATAGGGTAAATGCTATCTATATCCTTGGGTCAAAAAGTAGAGTCTCTGGTGCCTAGCAACTGTGCCTAGCAACTGTGCGGTCTAGTAGGACATAAGTTGGCAGTTCTTTGATTAAAACCCCAACCTAGGCCAGGCACAGTGGCTCACACCTTTAATCCCAGCACTTTGGAAGGTCAAGGCGAGAGAATTGCCTGAGCCTGGGTGTTCGAGACCACCTCTACAATAAATAAAAAAATTAGCCGGGTGTGGTGGTGCATGTTTGTGGTTCCAGCTACTTGGAAGGCTGAGGTGGAAGGATCGCCTGAACCCAACAGGTCAAAGCTGTAGTAGCTGTGAGCATGCCACTGCACTCCAGCCTGGGCAACAGAGTAAGACTCCAACTCAAAAAACCTCCAAGGCCTGATAAGAATTATCCAGTGTTGGGAGCCGGCCTTGGAGGTCCACCTGATTGACAGGGTCCTGGTGGGCTGAAGACCCCGGCCGCAGGACAAGCCCGGGAAGCTGAGGCCCTTCTGTCTTCCACCTTTGCTGTTTGATACGGCTGAAGAATTTCTGTGCAGTCGTGGAAGAAGAAAATGGCATGTTTATGCGAAGTACTCACACCTAACCTGAGAATGTCATAGTTCATTTTCCCATTTTCCCACTATGCCGCTTGGCCTTTTCTAACATATGCAAGGGTTAAACTCTGAAGCACATCAAGAATGCTTTCTTTCACTTGGTTATAAGTTACTAGATATAGGTTGAATAAAAAATGATATTAGTATATTCACTCCTTATTTGATTTAGAATTATGCAGTTTAGTGTTTAGACATAAGGTTTTATAGAAGCACAAGTTTATAGTAAGTTCATTATGAATTCATTATAAGTTCTAACACTTATCTAGGAGCTATGTAGGTGATTTATAACACTGTCTTCACAGACTTAGGATAAAGATTAATCATTAAGGTTTTTACTTAATTCTATAGTTAAATTTTAAGTAAACGTTTATAGAGTGGGTTTTCACTGAATTCATAATATTAGATACTTTTATGATAATTAACTAAATACAGAAAGCAACTTTGGGGGCCTGAAAAATGTCATTAAAAGCTTCTTTTGAGTTTTCTTTAGAAATAAACACTGCTAGATAAGAGAAAAGTAACGAAGACACCTGGACAGAAAGGCAATTACAAAGCTTTGAAGGTCATAAAAGCCCAAAAGAGAAAAACTGCTACATGAAGGACCATGCACCTGGGAACTTTCTTGAAGCACTTCAAGGACTGTAATTTGGGACTCTTTTGAAGAGAGTTGCTGGCAGTGCTATTCTAGACATGATAATTGTTTTATCCATGTAT